CCAGCCAACCGCTCGTCTCTCTCTGTCAGACTAACAACACAAACTCAATCGTTTTACCAACTAATAAAAATGTAACCAAAAAGGACGAATCGCTGAAACGCGTTGTATCAACTTCAAGCGCGCGCTCGATCTCCAGTCCAGTCAGAAACGCGGCGAAAGGAAAGTGGATTTTAGCAGTTTATTAAAAAGTGAAGACATCAGGAGACAATGTGGAGGTCTGCCCTGCTTCTTGTTTTTCTTCTGCTGACATCTTTCTGCTGTGGAGTGTGTTTCGAGTGTCCGGAGATCTGCAGATGTTCCCAGAAGAGCATCACCTGTAACAGCGCGACGGAGAGCCAGAAGAGCCTCAGCAGACTGTAAGAACACCTGAACATCGCCTTATAATCATACAAACACACATGACACTCATATTTTAACGTGTAACACATGATTTGACTGCTATCGTGTTTATTAGACCGTGTGCGTTTGTTTCTTGACATTTCAGTGTCATTGTTTATTAGAGAGAGTCTCCACTTTCCTTACTAATATGCAACTCCCTCTCTGACTCCTCCACTAACTACAATAAATAAATAAATAAATAATTGCTAATGTTTTGCTTCTTACACTGTCCTTACACACCTGAAACTTGCCTTCAGCACTTATTCATTGTTGCTCTGATAGTTGTGTAAATTGCTTTCTTGTCCTCATTTGTAAGTCGCTTTGGATACTGCTAAATGACTTAATGTAAATGTAAATGTAGAGAGGTTTGTCACATATATAAAGTGATAGTTCATCTAAATTTGGAAACTCATTTAATCACTCTTTATTTGTTACAAGTCTGTATGACTTTATTTGTTCTGTTGAATGCGCAATATCTTTTGAGGAAAGCTGAAAGCTGTAATTATTGACTCCACAGTATTTGTTTTACCTGCTAAATAGTGAGTACACTTTCATTTTTGGGTGAACCATCCTTTTAAGTATCAACATGATATATTTACTTTCACATACAGACCGCTGGATTTTAATTCTAGATTAATGTATGTGGTTTTGCATAACATATTAAGATATTCACATCACCTTATTTCACTTCTAATTAAACTCATGAAAAAATGCTTAAGTAATTTATAGTGAAAATATGTTTTTGGACTATATTATTACTGCATTTTGTTAATAAATTGCTACAGAATACTGTAATCAACTAATAAATACTGCTGTATACTTTATTTTTACTACAGTAAAGTGTGGTGTATTATAATGTACTCTATAAAACTACAGTAGTGACTCATTTGTTTACATATCTATAGTTGTTGTTTTACCACAGTATACTATACAATTACCACAACAGATTAATTCAACTACTTAGTATGTTTCAAAAGCAATATAGTAATACTATAAATTAAATTTACAATATATTGTTGAAGTTACAATATATTGTATTTTATTTCTTCATCACATTTCAGTGTGAGTTATTGAAGAATGTGTCACATGAAATATGAAAACATCATATTTAGATCATATTTGTTTTCATTTTATACAATTTATCAGCTAAAATAATTCATATTTATATGTTTACGTTATTTCCCAGTGATGGGTTGTGGCTGGAGAGGTATCCGCTGCGTAAAACATCTGGTGGATAAGTTGGTGGTTCATTCTGCTGTGGTGACCCCGGATTAATAAAGGGACTAAGCCGACAAGAAAATGAATGAATGAATGTTTACATTCGATATAAGGTCATATTCACAGCATCTATCTAACTGCACACTTGAAAATGTACAATACTAATTTATAATATATATACAGTAGCTTTGACCCATGCTATGGTAGTGTATTATACTGTACGTTTAGATTAGATTAGATTAGATTCAACTTTATTGACATTACACATATACAAGGCATTGAAATGCAGTTCAGGTCTAACCAGGAGTGCAACAACAGCAAGTGCATAGCTATAAGTTATAAAGTGCATATGGTGATATTTACAGATGGATGTACTATGAACATTATGTACAGGTTGTATTTACTTTGAACACAGATTTAAATTAAATATATTATAATATATACATGTAATATATGTACAAGTTGCTATTAATAATCAGAAATATGCAGATAGATATGAACATAATTACAAATGTACATGTGCAGTGAGTGTGTACAGTACAAATAAATGAATCAGTGCAATGTAGTGCAAAGAACATGTGCAATTTTTCAATGTGCAAATGTTAAATAGTGCAGTGTTTATGAGGAGTATAAGCAGGCCCACCCGGAATCTGCGCGCGCAGAATTCTGCACGTTTTTTGCAGATTGTCCGCAGATTTTAAGCCCATCGTTAACTCGATGTTTATTGAGTAAATGTGTGTAAATCTATATTTTTTCTTTTTTTTTTTTTATTGATTTCAGTAATATTATTGACTAATGTGAAAATGTTCATTTAATTTATGTACAATGCATTTTGTAATATTATTTTCAGATTTTTACCTAAATTCTCAGCAGAAACGACCGCAGATTCAGTCTGGCCCTAAGTATAAGTTATAAGGAGACTGGGGGGTGTATAAGTAGGGCAAAAGAGACAGTGAGGGGCAGAGTTCAAAAGGGAGACAGCTCTGGGGGAAAAGCTGTTCCTCAGTCTGCTGGTTTTTGTCCGGGGGAGCCTGAAGCGCTCCAAGCGTGGTAATTATAAAGTTACTGTGATGAAACAACAACTATAAAAACGGAAACAAATGACACAATACCGTAGTTTTCTACAACTATAGGGTATATTATACAACAATACACCATCTTTACTGTAGTAAAATCTAAAGTACACTACAGTATTGATTCGTTCACTATAGTTAGTAATACAGTATTCTGTAGCCTTCATTAACAATGAATATCACTATAGTTTACTATCTAATGCAGGCATATACATATGAGTTGTTTTGGCTGATAAATTGTATAAAATGTAAACAAACATGATGCTTTCATATTTCATCTGACAAACTCTTTATTAAACAATGATGCTGAAATGTGAAGCATACAACAGTCTGATGAATACAAACCTATATATTGAAATTTAATGTAATTAATAGCAAATATTACATTGCTTTTGAAACGTACTACAGTAAAGTACTTGAATTAATCTGCTGTGGTAAAACAACACCTTTAGAAATGTAAACAAATGACACAATGCTGTAGTGTTCTGCAACTGTAGGGTATATTATACAACAATACACCATCTTTACTGTAGTAAAATCTAAAGTACACTACAGTATTTATTCGTTCATCAGTTCACTATAGTTAGTAATACAGTATTCTGTAGCATTCAATAACAATGAGTTGTAAATAATATATACAGTATTATGCACTTTACCATACTATAATACACTTTACCATAGCATGGCTCTAAACTACTATGGTATTTACTATAAATTACTATACAGCAGTCATTTTGAGGTAGAGTGGGTAGTTAGATAGATGCTGTGAATATCCCTATAGTTTATTATCTAATGCAGGCATATACATATGAGTTGTTTTGGCTGATAAATTGTATAAAATGTAAACAAACATGATGCTTTCATATTTCATCTGACAAACTCTTTATTAAACAATGATGCTGAAATGTGAAGCATACAACAGTCTGATGAATACAAACCTATATATTGAAATTTAATGTAATTAATAGTAAATATTACATTGCTTTTGAGACGTACTATAGTAAAGTACTTGAATTAATCTGCAGTGGTAATTCTATAGTTACTGTGGTAAAACAACACCTATAGAAATGTAAACAAATGACACAATGCTGTAGTGTTCTGCAACTGTAGGGTATATTATACAACAATACACCATCTTTACTGTAGTAAAATCTAAAGTATACTACAGTATTTATTCGTTCATCAGTTCACTATAGTTAATACTACAGTATTCTGTAGCATTCTGTAACTATATAATTCAAGTGGTGCTCGCTGCAGAGCCATTTGAGGAGAGGTGATCTCCAGAGAGGGGGAGCTTAAGCTTGAGCTCCACCTTTTTTGCACTTCTTCTACGAGTGATGTCACTGGGGGTAGGGTTAGGGGTGGGGTTGGTGTACGCATTAAAACAGCTTACAGGAGGAGGAGCGACAGCTCATGCTCCCCCTCTCTGGAGCTCACCTCTCCTCAAATGGCTCTGCAGCGAGCACCCTCTCATATAATTACCACCAATTGCAGTTTGCATGTTCATGTTGGCGAGGGTTTCCACTGGGTGCTCTGGTTTCCCCCACCGTCCAAACACATGTGCTATAGGTGAATTGAGTAAATTGACTGTAGTGTATGTAGTGTGGATGTTTCCCAGTAATGGTTTGCTGCTGGAAAGGCATCCGCTGTGTAAAACGCATGATGGATAAGTTGGCAGTTCATTCCGCTGTGGCAATCCCTGACTAATAATATGACTAAGTCAAAGAAAAATGAAGGAATACAGGGTTTAATCATGTTGGTATTCACACACACTGGATTTATTTTCATGTTGGTTGGCCAAAGATGGGAATTCAGTGATATTTCCTTATTTACTCATCGATATACAAATTAAAGTCATGTTTTACTATAGTAAATAGATGTAGAGTTTCATTATGAGCTGTTATAATGTTTCATAAACATACAGTAGTAGATATTAAGTCATTGTTTTGGCTTGTGAATATACCAGAAATTGTTTTATAGCCCAAATATTTAATAATTTCTTTACTTTAAATTGCATTTGAGCTGTTTTATTAGTGTTTAATATTAATGTTTCACTAAAACTGTGATATTTAACGTGTCAAACATCCCTTTTAATTTCACTTCGTTTGCCAACGGTGGTGGCTTTTCAGTTGTATTGATTAATTAATACTATTAATATTCATACTGTACGTGTTTACGGCCATTAGAGAGACTTTGTGAAATGAATGATTTGTGGGCAGTGATTCACAGTGATACTAATGAAGCTTCTTGACTTTCATGTACATGATCTCATAAACCACACACACCCAAATCTCTGGAGTTTTGAGTCAGCTCAATTATCTCATAATAATGCTTATTATAGTACAGAATGTTAAATATGAAACACGGGCAAATAAAGGGAGGTATGATAGTTTAAAGTGTGATCTAGAGCAGTGTTTTTCAACTGGTGGGTCCACTTTTGGGTCGCGGGAACATTTTCAGTGGGTCGCGGAGTGTGTGGTAAAAAAAAACAACAAAAGTTAAATTTTTTACTTATTTTGCTTATACTAGACTTTTATTTTGAAATGCGGGCGTGACAACCCTACTGTTTGACATCTGAAATTTCATTTAATTATAGCAACAAATATGTCGAAGCCCAAGTATGACCCCGAACATGTAAAGTATGGATATATGTATATTAGGGATGTAACGGTATCAGAATTTCACGG